AGTGAACAAGCCAATTCCTGTCATGGAGGATGACTGGTACTTTAAGGGTCACAAAAGCTCTGATATACTAAACTGTTTAAAATGGGAATGATAAAGAAATGCAAATTCCACATCCTCTGAGTTGGTTTGGTGAGCTAGACTGTAACCTGGCAACTCTGAGGTCAAATCAAATGCTGTTCAGAGACCATTTTCAGTAATTTTCTGAGCAATGACTCAATGCTGGCAGCAATTTCACACACTAGAATGACCTCTGCAAAAGACATTAGTCTACCAAGGAGAGTTTAAAGGGGCCAGCCACCTCCATCATCAAATAGCTCCCTAGTCTGGGAAAGCCTGTGGGTTGCTCAATGGATTCAAAGGACTTATACCACTACAGAGTCCATTGCAGACGTCAAGACAGCAGAGAAAAAAATTCCAGGAAGTTCAGAATGGATCCTAAACTTCTTGAAATTTTTCTTCTTGAACAGTCAGAGGGAGAGGTAGGGATACAAATCCCAAGCCTCACCACAAAAGCTAAGTGAGTCTTTCAAAGTGAAGTCTGTATGAGATAACCCATACACAGGCTCGGCACAGTGGCAAGCACATAGTAGTAACACCAACAGGTAACATTTATTGAACACTTCACAACTGTGAGTCCTTCTTAGCTGCCTCTCCAAGTCAGCAGTGGTAGAAAAATGTTGGAAGCAAGTACTAAACTAGTTGAAGAAATTTAGTGGGGTTTTTTGATGTTCTCAATAGAGAATGCCCTGTTTTGTGTGCCCTAAATGCCACATTCACAAGAGCACCTTTCTAAAGGAATTAGAAGAGAGGACTTGCAGGATAGAGATTTCAGATAAAAGGATAAAGAGAAACAGCTAAAGAAGCATCCCCCTAAAGTTATGACATATATAAGTTATATATAGTCCAAAAATCGATGAACTCCACAGGGAAGGGGTGAACAGCACACTTAGTAAAGCTGGGAGATTTTAGAGTGAGCACACTAAACAATGTGAAAAATCAGCAAAACGGGTTTGCCATGAGCAGCAGTCTCCCTGAAATAGCCTCTCATTTACTTTTCATTTCTTCTGCTTTCCAGTCTCTTCTCTTTGAAGCAGCTCTTGATTGGTTTCTTTTTAAATTGCCACTTAATTGGGAAATAAAATTAGAACACTTGTTTGATATCTGTGATGAAGTTTCTCTTTTCATTTCTGCGTTGCTCTAGTTTTAAAAAACTAAAAGCTGAAGAGAGAAATTAAGCAAAAGGGACTAAAAAGATTTCTTCTTTCCAAGAGCTAGATGCAGCTATAAGACACCAAATAAAAATGGGAAAGAACCACTCTTGAAGAATCTGAAAAATAGAACAAAAGTTAAGTAAGGTGAGCTTTAAGGAATTTCAAGAAACCTTCTTTTTTCCTAAGTTTTTCATAAGGATACTATCTCATGATTAGGAAATGGGGAAAGCTTATAAGATCTCATTTTTACCTGTCCTCATAGAGTAAGAGAGCAGGATGGGAAAGAGACTCGCCTTATCAAAGTGCTCTTGAGCCATGGCTTACCAGCATCTCAATGGTATCAATGACATTGCAAAACAAATTCCTGAAGAATCCTAGGAACAAAATAGTCTAGAAATTCTTTCCTGTTTCAAAACACCCAGATAAACTTTATTGGTTCCCTTCTCCCAAATTAAAATCTACTGCCAGCTGATAAGGTTTATTCTTTAGCAATATTTCTTGGAAAGCCTTTCACTAAAAACAAGCATGTTAAACCATATAAATAAATCATGAGCTGGAGGGGGATGCAGCATAAAGATTATCTTAGTCTGATTCTCCTCTCAATTTCTTGGGGTTACTTATGTCAGGCAAGTAACAGGAAAATGCTACTCGCCTTTCCTCTGTTGAGTAGACTTAAAATATTAGCTTATAAACTTAGAGTCATAAGCGTGTGTGTGTGTGTGTGTGTATCAAACTACATATATACATATACTGTGTGTGTGTCTGTGCACTTTTATATGTACATATGAAATTTATACTCACCAAACAGTTTAATTGTGGAAGAAACACATAACTAGAAAAGTCAAGAACTAAACTCGTACACAAAAGGATGTAAAGAAACTAGCACACGGCATTTCCTATTATTCTAGTGCAGGGATATAGTTCATTTCATCAGTACCCAGTACTGTGAGCCCATCCTGAACAAAAGGCCTAAGAGACTAGGGGTTAGTTTGAACTATCATTAACTTTTATTACACATTACACTTTAGAATTGTTAACATTAAAAGGAAATATTTTCCTGCAATTCTAGTATCACTTTTGAAGACATATTAAATAATATTATGACAAGAAAAATTTCAAGCCAAAAAACAGTGGAAAATTAGGGGATCCTTCATTTCTGTGTATTTCATAAAATACACTAGTAAGGCTTACAATGAGACTAACGTGGGTGAAAGTATGCATGTAAGAAAAATCTGACATATTCTCCCTCAATGAAGAGAAATGAAACTCCATTAACATTAGGCTACAAAATTGAACATTTGCCATTCATTCATTTAGCAAATACTCATTAATGCCCATTAAGCACCAGGCATCTCAAAAGCATGATCTCTGTTCTCAGGCACCTTACAGTCAGCTGAGGCAGGGACTGGACACCTGTTATTTAACTATTGTTATGATAAAAGCCACAAAAAAAGACAGTATGTGATAAGAGTAGGGGAGCATGGTCCGGGAAGGAAGACAGGGAAGATCTGAAGAAAGAATAGGAGGAAAGGGGGAGGTGGCATTCCAGATTATACCTCATTTAATCCCTACAAATGGTGGTAAGTAACTTTCCCAAGGTCACAGGACTGGTAAGTGTCAGAACTAGGCTTTGAGCCCATGTCTGACTGACTCCTAAGTCTATGCTTCCCCACTGTGCCACTGCTTCTTCCCAAAACTGTTTTCTCCCATAACTAGTGGGAAAATGTTAACTCTACCTCAGATTCTAAGTGCCAGAGGTAGACTGTGTCCTCCAGGCTGGGTCCTCTGCTCGCCACCTCCAAACTCACACAGACCTCTAGATTCAGGATGCTAATAAGCTTAATTTGTTCACCCAGAGGATAGCCACCTACAACAAAAAACACCTCCAAAGGTTTTTTTGGGGTTACCACTTTGTTGTACTATAAATAAAACACAGAACTTTCTGCCAAACAATTTTGTAAAGTGATTCAGATTATAGGGAACAAAGCCACCTTGAAGATACAGGCATTGCTCAGGGCAACACTTCAGCAGAGAAAAAGAAAAGGAACTACATAAAGAGGAAAGGAAAAAGCCTTACAGTCACTTCTGAATGACTTTCAAATTCAACAACTCTCATCAATGGTTGGGATTGCTACTCTGGAGGGCTGCATTTTCCCTCCTTCCTATTTCTATTTCCTCTTTCTCAGCTCTTTCTTTCTTAGGATCTCAAACTTCAAAACAAGGTTGTTACATTAGATTTGTTGTGAGTCACAGCAAAAGAATAGTCTTATAAAACCAAATTTGACAAACTTCCTTTTTCTCTACATTCTTCTTGTGATTTTTAATGTGAGTTGAAGAACATAAAAGCTAGATCTTTTAACCTAAGGATTCATCACAAGCAGATTATAAATCACTTAAAATAATCCTTTATTCTCCCATCTCTTCAGGGTAACAGAATTTTTAAGTTTATCCAAAGGCATCAACCTTCTACGTTTACCTCCAGGACTACCACCAATATTGCAAATGATAAAATGGCTATGGAAATCAGACTGCCACAGACTCAGCCAAAGTTATACATTCAAAACAGTCTCTCGTAACCTTCCATTAAAAAAATCTATGTAAATACAGATAGGAAGAATCAGTCAGTGCCAGCCACTATAACAATATGAAGAAAATGGATGACAGGGTGTGGCTTACAAGAGTGAAAACTGATTTGTAAATAGAATTCAACACTCAAACTCCTGATGCATTTCTTCTGCCCAAGGAACAGTTTCTAATAGGCGAGAACCTAAAGTACAGGAGATGCAGTATTAGACCCACTTCAAAACACTGTCCAAGAAGCGACATCACTCAATTTCTTGAGGCTTGAGACTACTACGCAAATTTAACCAAGCAAAGACGCTGAAAGACCTAATTATATATTATTCCGGAAACTTGCAGAGTATTTGGAGCAACGGACACTGTATACGTCAAAACATCGCCACACGGTAATTACGTACGGTTTACAGGGTAAATTTGTATTTTGAGATCCCCTGATAATATTTTACTACATAATTATGGTTTGTATGGCCTGCTCAATTTCCTCATTGTAGGAGAACTGAAACGAAATGTTCTATTAATCGTTTATTGCTAATCACGTTGTTCACACACCTCTGTTAAGTAATGTTCCCTTTGCACTGTAATGTTAGATTGACCCATGCTGTGCCATCGGGAACCATCGTCCAACATGCTTTTTTCCCGGGACGCACCTGACACACGAGTGGCACATCACACAGAAAAACTTTCATATAATGAAAGTATTGAATGTCTCCGGCCCTTAATATACTGAGCACCACCCCTGGTAAATGACAAAGACAGCAACCAATCGCCAAGCAGGATCCAATGTCTCAGCCAATAAGAATACGGGGGTGGGGTTACACTAAGCTCCCATTGACTTCCCCGCACCCCAGAGACCCAGGCTGTGGGAGACTGGGCAGGAATTGAATTCCGAGGATCTCATTACCCCCGGTTGTAGCTGTTGTCCTCCTCGTTCTCACAATCGCTGCAGTGCTCATGGCTATTTCCGTTCCCTTCCATCATCAGCGGCAGCGGAGGTGCCGGGGTCTTCACTGCTGTCTCACTCTCGTCCGCCATCTTAAGTTGCGAGAGCCAGCCTCCGCGCCTCGCTACACGGGCGGTTCCTATTGGACGAAGGGAGCTTGCGCTATACTTTGGGTTTTGTAGTTTTTACGGCGGAGGAATCCCCGAGAAACTGGAACAACGTGGACTACAATACCCAGAAATCATGAGGGGCGGCTGCCCTGGGTTGGGGGCCAAGAGCTACCGGGAAGTCCTGGGCATTTGGTCGCGTGTGAGGAAAGAAGGGCCACAAGGTTGGCGCGCCGACCCTAGCTGACTCCGGCGGCCGCATGGCATGCTGGGGATTGTAGTTCGGTGCAGGTTTAGTGTGTCGGACATGGAGTCTCCAAAATCCGAGGTTTGACTTCAGCCAGCTCTTGCTAGTGCCTTGGTCATTGGCTGTCGTTAAGGCCTGTTGCCATTCGCGGGTAAGTAAGAGATCTGAGCCCGAATGCGTTGGGCCGTTCTGGAGGGGCTTTCCTTCAAGAAGCCAGTTTGGCTCCTGGTTACTTTCTTCACTCAAGACTCTGGGCGGCCCCTGGTCGTTTGTAGTTGTGCAGAGCGCTGACCCTGAGCCAGGACACCAGAATGCTCGCTTGAGCCTTGGCCTCGGGGTACTGGTCTCCACAGAGTCCTTCCGCACACAGTGTCGTTTTTATTCTCCGCAGCAGCTCCCCATAGCTACTCTTTAATGAGCGTGTAAGGGCTCAAGGTAAGGCTTTTCATCCGTCTCATTTAACTCAACATCCCTAGAATGTGGGTGCTATTATTATTCCCCTTTTTCACAGACAAATATGGCCAAGACTGGTTGGTAAAGTTCAGTCACATAGCTAATGTGACAAAACCAGTATACATATCTGGACCTGTCTGCCCTTAGGCTCTCTGAATTCTTTACCACCACAAAATTCCCATTGTCTGATACATCCACCCAAAGAATTCAGTTATTAGAAGGTAATTGGACATCTTAATCTATTTTTAGCCTTGACTGAATGCTTCTATCCCTTGCCTCTTACCCCTGTGATAGAGTAATTGCACCTGAGTCTTGAATAGACAGTGGAAGACATGGTGCCCATTCCTAGAGATTTCCCATTCAGGTTGGTTTGTGGTGGTTGGTGAGGGAAGCACAAGTTCTTAGAATTTAGAGAGCTCTGTGGTCATAAACGGAAATGATCTTTGCCTTTGGGAAACTCTCAACATGGGAAGAGGGTAAGTAGGAGAAACAGTTCCCATCTGACTCAGAAAAACAAAACAAAAGAAACAGCTAAATATTATCAACTCTTCGTTTTTATATTAGTGACAAGAGCAGAAGTTAATATGATCCAAAGCATCAGATAATCCCCAATCATTTATATTTGACTTTGGAAGAGAAAGAAACCTGCTCAGGTTGAGAACTGTCACCCACATTCATTTCTCCAGGGCCAAGTTGTATATAAGTCATGATGCCTTATATACAACTGCAGGCAAGAGGAGGTCAGAAACAATAATAACAACGCGTTACATGTGTTAGATGGATTTAACTTTTCTAAGTGTCTCATCTGTTGTAGCTCACATGACTTTGTTAAGTAATAGTGAAGGGGAGTTGAAGAAAATTGTATGTGCAAAAAAAATATGTATCACAATGATACCTCAGTGCAGAACCAGAATTCACATCTATATTCTAATCCCAACCCTGTATTTTCTTTTCTCACAGATAAGCAGAGGTTGAATGAAGGCTAATGAAACATAACCAAGCAAGTCTGATTGTAGGAATTGAAGGTTGGTTTCTGTGGACCCTGCCATTCTTGTAGTTCAAAGCTTAAGTGGGATACGCTGCCTTGTATTTTACTTCAAACTGAGTTTTTGCTCAGTGGAGAGCCTTTCTGGGAGGTGGGGAGGCAATGTGACTGTCATGTCCAAGGTCAGAACGCAAGTACAGGTCCAAAGTTGTGGAATCCAGCACCTCTGAGAATTTTTAGAGTTAGAAAGGAACTAAGAGGCATTTATTGTCTCTCTCTTAGGATTTTTCAAGTTAGAATCCTCACTTAGATTTTATAGGACCCATGGTCTCTCTGTAATAAAATTTAAACTTTATATTTTTAAAAAGAAATTGAGAATTTGTGACACTTTTTAAAAATGACCACTTGGTAACAGAATATTCCCACATGTGATTTTGGTGCCTAAGTTTACTTTTGAGTTTACAGTTACACTTGTACAGAATGATCACCCAAAACAACGCAATGTAGAGTTTCCTAAATTGGTCCTATGGATGCTTTCTTGGGGTTCCTAGAGTTCTGGTATTTGTTCCTCCATACTCCCTCATAAGAGAGTGCCTTCCACTTTCAAACAGCTTCCATTGGTGGAAAGTTGGCCAAGTTCTGCCTTATGGAGTTATATAGAATCATAATCCTGCGTCCTTATAGATACTTGTTATGTATTCTACAATTAATACCTGTTTCCCTAAAATTCTTTTTTCCAAGATAAACATTACCAGCTTTCTGAGTACCTCATTACTCTAGAATAACAGGATTCTGCCATCTTGCTTTGCAGGCTCCTCCTACCCACTCATTGTGGCAGGAGCATTATAAGAAGGTAGTGGGGCTCAGGGGGTGACTGAGGGATATGTCTGAAGTTCTGCAGATTTTGGATCTCTCCTAGTGTAGATACCCCCATTATCCCTTCATGTTACTGGAGACAGTGGAATATAGTGGTTAGGAGGTCCACCCATATTGCAAATGGCAAGATTTCTTTTTATGGCTCAGTAATAGTTCATTGTATTTGTGTACTATATCTTCTTTATCCATTCATCTGTTGATGGACACTTAGATTGTTTCCATATCTTGGCTGTTGTAAATGCTGCAATAAGCATATGAGTGCATGTATCTTTTCAAATTAGTATTTTTGTTTCTGTCAGGTAAATAACACAGAAGTAGAATTATTGGGTCATGTCTTGACCCTCTGTATGTCTTCTTTGGAAAAATGTGTATTCAGGTCCTCTGTCCATGTTTAGATTGGATTGTTTCTTTTCTTGGTGTTGAGGTATATGAGTACGTTATATATTGTGGATATTAACCCCTTATTGAGTATATCATTTGCATATTATCCTCCCACTCAACAGGTTGCCTTTTGTTTTGTTCATGGTTTCCTTGCTGTGCTGGAGTAAGGTGCTTTTGAGGTACTGCAATGAGAATCATGTGACTGGGACTTAAAGCATGAGGAGCATTTGGGAAGTTAAGACTGACTGAAGGAGTCAGGAATCAGACCTGGAAGGGAGGTGGATGCCATGCTGAGGAGTTTGGGCTTTGTCCTAAAGACTCTCAGGAGCCACTGAAAGATTTTTAGCTGGGGAGAAATATGATCAAAATTTTAGTTGGCGAAAGATACTGGGCAGCAGCAGCCTGGCTGTTCTAAGGAAGAGAGTTTTTTCTCTGAAGAACAGGGCTAGTGGGCGCAGTTGTGAACTAAGGAATGGGGAGATGGTCTTTGGCAACTTCCTATCTCCCCTGGAACTCACTTTCAGGGAGGGTAGCCTTCTTTCCCTGTGACAGCCCCTGACACAGGGGCCTGGAGACAGTGGGCTCGGCCTTCTGTTTGGTGCTGTGGGATTTAAGAGAGACTGAACCAGGCATTCCCTGCCCAGAAGGCACTTAACAGTGAAATTGGGGGAACCAGGCACACTTGAAAACAAAATAATAAGGCCTGACTGCGTATGATTAAATGGACTAGACAGATAAATTAACTGAAGCTGAGGGTGGGGCGGGGGGTGCAGATCTCTGGGGCAGCATTGTTAGGAAAGGCTTCCTGGATAAAGCAGACTTTGAACTTAGCCATGGAGGCAGCTTAAGCCCTAGGTTCTGGGGGCCCTGGGGGCCTACTCCTGAGCTGGAGTCACAGCTGCAGTTTTACTTCTGTTTATGTGGTTAACAGTTTGCAGCTATTTCCCCCTACAAGCCTCTGTGTTCTGTGTGGGAAGAGAACAGGTTGGATTTTCCTCACCTCTGTATCCCTTTGGCCAGCACACAGTAGGCCCTTGATTAATATTTGTTGAATTAATTAATGTGTTAGTAAATGGTGAGAGAGAAGGGATAAGGCCTTCAGGGTGTGGAAATGTTACAAACAAAGGGCAGAGGCAGGAACACAGTATAATGGCCTCTCTTATTTGTGTAGTGTGCCTTTTTGCTCATAAAATGTGCTAACATGCTATCTTGTTTGCTCCCTACCATTAACTGTCTTGTTTGACCCTGTGCAAAGAGCTGGGCAGGTGTTATTCCTGTTTTAGTGTGAGAAAACATGTTCAGTGATTTGTCCAAAGTTTCACTGCTTAGAATGAATTCAGACTTGAACCTGGCCTTGTAACATCATGTCTGGTACCACATCTAAGTTACCTTTGTCCTTCACCTTTCCCAAGGGGAAACATGTCTGGAGGAGTGATCAGGGGCCAAGGCACAGAAGGCCTGGAGTTTGGACTTGCTGGTGACAACCTATGGGAGCTTGTTCTTTTTTCTACACCTGCCTAATAAAGGATAAATATTAATGATATTTGAAAGGTATAAATTTAATTGCATATTAATATTTATTTTAAATAAACATAAAGAAAGTATGTTTAATTTTAAGAACCAAGAGTCAAAGACCCAGGAGTCAAAGGAGTCACCTCTGTTGGACTCAGAAGATTGTTCATCAAACACAACTTGAAGCAGCTTGGTCTTCTAGACATCAGGCTAAATGCTGAGGGCTCAAAGATTATTGAGATTCAGGTCCTTGTCAGGATGAAGCAAGATTGTGTAGGCAGCTAGAGCCAGCTCAAACTTTATTATTGCCACCCAGAATAATGGAGGATATGTGTTCGAGCTAAAAAAGCCCTTGATGGTATCACTTCAGAACTGCAAAGGCAGAGCCTCAGCTTGGAGGAAGTGCCTGGGTTGAGGCCCCTGCAGCAGCCCTTCAGCCTTCTAGGATTGTCCCAGAGCAAGACATGCAGCGGCTATTGGCAGATTGGACCACACAGATACCTACTTAGAATACAAGGCCTCTGTGTGTATACCAATTGCTCATGATACTCTAAGACAGTTTCTGGAAAAAGCAGGATCATCAGCAGGGGTTTCTTAACTGTTGCCCTAGGAAGACCTTGGTAATTTGGGGAAGGGCAGGCATGTTCTTATCCCTATCACTGCCATGGCCAGCCATTGTTATGGATGTGAATCTGGGGATCCTGATGTGTCAGGAGTAGGGAAAAGATTGGGAACCACAAATTTAGGTTATCTGTAAATTGTTCAGTCAAGGAAGGGGACTGGGCCGTTAGATCAGGCTCTAAGGAATAGGAATTAGAATTGTTCTGCTTGACCCCATGGATTAAAACCAAGAGAGATACTAGCTGAGGGAAAGCTTCCTAACTGTGAGAACTAGACTTGAAAGACAGCATGAAGCTGTCTTGAAAGACAGTTCAGACACTGGATATGTTCATGTATAGAAAGCAGAGATGATGAAGAAATTCAGATCCCGGATAGGTATTTGGACCAAATGGCCCATTTGATCATAAGATGCAGTTCTGTTTATTGGGTGACAGCAGTGGGTGCTGTTGAAGGGAGAAAGTTTTCAGGAGCTGGAAGTCAAAGATGTTGAATTACTTTATTCTTCAATGTGTTGGAACCCTGTTATGCCTGGCACCGTTCTAGGCACTGGGGATGCTAGTGGTGAAGGTAGGCAAGACTCCTACCTTAAATGAAGCAGAAAGCAGAGGTAGTTTAAGAAGGGAGAAAGGAGGCAGGGTAGGAGTTAGGGACCATCTACTGTATGCTTTTATGTATTTCCAGTTTTTTCAACAAGCAGCACAGTAGCGATTACCCTCAATTTAATAGAGACAGTGAGGAGGAAAGTGACTTGCTAGGTTTGTATGGATAGAATGTGAGCTGTGCAGCCAATGCCATTATAAGAGAGGGCAAATGGATTAATCTCTGAAAGTCAGTTCCTTGTGTAAAATGAGGACGGTGACAATACCTTCCTAAAGGATTATTAAGATTCAGTGAGATAATGCCCACAGAATGCTCCTAGGACCTGGCAGGTAGGTGCTCAGTTAACTACCGTTGCCATCATTGCCATTGTCAAGAGTTTGCACAGCTAATGATGGCCAGGCCTGACTTTGAAGTTAGGACTCCAAGGGTTTCATTTTCCTGGGCTTGGGGAAGCCTCTGGCTCTGAGGGAGCAGTGACTCTGCAGTCCCCATCCAGCGCAGCGCTGCTGGGCCACACGCGCCTGCCTCTCCCATGCCCCCGCTCGGTCCCGCCCCTTCCGCTGGCCGGACGTCCGGTCCACATGCATGCGCTTCGGGGTCCCGCCTGCTCGCCAGGACCTCCCCAGTAAGCGCCCCTGAGATTGGGCGAGCGACCAGGCCGGGTCAGAGGTCCCGGGTACGTAGTGCGCCTAGCGGGTGGGTAGAATCCGCTCCGAGGATGCCTGGGCTGGTCGGCAATCCTCCTGCGCTGCTTTGTTCTTTTAGGTATCCCGGCCTCCCGGTCTAGTGGGCTTGGTTCCCCGCCGAAGCTCTGTGTCTTGGCTTCCGGCAGGGCTCTGGTCGAACAGAACCACTGCCCGAGGCGCACCGATCGTGCTGAGAGGTGAACATAGTACGCACCTTTTTTTCAAGCTTTGATACAATTTATTGGGCACATACTATGTAGCAGCCACTGTAAACGGTTTTGCATCTATGGCTCATTGCTTTGACAGCAACCCCCTCTCCCCCAAGAAAGGTTTAATTTATCTGTTTTTAAGCCGTGGAAACGGAGAAAGATTTGCGACTAGAAAGCGGCGGAAATTCAAGAGTAGGTTCAGTCCAAAGCCGCTACACTTTTTAACTTTGTGGTAAGATCTAATTTTGACTTGTAAATCCAGCCTCTGCCACTTCCAGTTGGTGGTCTTGGGTACCTTTCCAACTTTAAGTTTGCCTCGTCTGAAAAACGGGAATGATGCCTATTTCAGAGGGTGGATGGGGAAGTGCCTTGCTGCGTAGCTTCTGTTTTGCTGAGTGATTATCTCAGCTTTTGAGATTCAGCTTCCCCTCTTTTACGTGTTCCCCAGGAGGCTAGCCAGGTAATAAAGTTTTAGCCAAGACCCCCCACCCCTGGGCGGCGGCGTGGAATTCCCACTCATCCGTTAGTAAAGAGGGCGACACGACTGCCTGCTTCTCTTCTTACCCAAGTTCCCAAATGGAAGCGTTAGCACCTCTGGCGTTTTTTACTTAGAAGTTTTAAAAGATTTTTCTCTTTCCCTCAATTATGGAAAAAGTATTACCCAAATAAACCCTGGCATTAAGTCCTAATTTTAGAGATGAGGAAATGGAAGACTTTGAATATGTTTGAATATGTTGGGGGCAAGGGACGGCTGATTTTACCCAAAAAGACGAGATGGATTCGGCAGGATGCAGAGAGGTCTCCGGAAATGGTGAAATGCTAGAGAGAGATTCCAGTACAAAATGGACAAGACGGTTGGGGCATTATTTTCTTATCAGGACCCTAAATTTTCACCATGTCCTCATCTGTCTTGATCAAGGTCTGAATCTGTCCTGGGTAATATGTTTAAAGGGTTCAGAGCCTCTCTTGGTGCCTGTGCCTTAAGAGAAAAGATGAGGGCTGATAGCTGAAGGCAGGCAAACAGCTTAACTTTGTTTTGAAAACTACCCATTCACACATTTTTAGACAGCTAAAATTTTTCTCTGAAAACGTCAGTAGTTGCCAAGGATATGATTTCTGGTTAATTGTAAATATTGACATTTTAAAAGTGAAACTGTTATATCAGGCTTTTAAATGTCTACGGTGCAATCTAAATACCATAATGGTTTGATTTCCCTCATCCTTTGAAAGAAATACAGGAATCAGTTTTTTATTTAACTGTTGAAATTTGACGTTCCTTTTTTCTCTTTGAACTTAAGTTTGCTCCACTCAATTTTTTTCTAGTAAATTAGATTGTGTGCTTGAAAACCCTTGATTTGTCATCCTACTTCTCTGCAATAAAAATACATAAAAACTTAAAGCATTTTTGAAAATTGTGGACATAATATTAAACATGTCTTTTGGATTGAGTTATTATAATTGTAAAATACACAATTGATCAAAACAATTTTGATAATTGTTAAACATGTCTTATTTGAAATGCTTCTCTTAATAAGCTGAGTGGAACTTCTTTGAGTTCATGTGTGTCTCCATATGTTTTACTAGAAAGAGCAGAGCTTTTCATGGCTGTGAGCATTGAAAACATTGGTTCATGTAAATATATACACAGGACTTGAAGGTATTTTGTTGTGGCAATATCACTCAGTTCTTTGAACACCTTCTGAGTTATGAGCCAAAAAAAAAAAATCAGTGATCTATAATTGGAATCAATTATTAATGACCTAGCAGCAGACAGTTCTTTCAGGTCTTCCTTTAATTGAAGGTGCAGATTTGGAAACTACCTGACTCAGCTGGAGGATTTGTTACATAGTTGCTGTGGGCAGTCACATACTTAGCAGGAATGCTGGTTTTTGGAAGCCTCCTTTGTTGTGCCAGGGAAATTTGCACTGTGGCACCATGCACTTTAGTGAGATTTGGCATGGGTGGGTAGTTGTGGCTTTCTCTGAAACCTGAGAGATTGGGGTGATTGTGAAGGGGCACCTGGGAAAGGAGAGGTTGCAGTCACATTCCAAGGCTGGGCTGTTTCCACATGTAGACGCTATGGATGAGTTGGAAATTTATTTCTTTTAAACTGCTCCTGTGTGTCCCTTGGAAATTTCATGCATCTCGCAGGGGTTCCCACCACACACTGTTAACTACTTAGGGTAGATAACTTCTTTTAACTTCCATTTCCTCACCTTTAGAACTGGGATAGATTCAAAGCACTGACCGCTTTGGGTGGTCATGCTGATGAAGTCAAGAATGTGGGTGGCACAGAGAGAGCACTGGGATGGGGGGTAGCTGCTCTGGTATTCTAGTTCCTGCCTGTGAGAAACTCCCTTCCTAGGCACATTCTGCCTCAGTTTCCTCTTTGGTGAACCCAAGATATTGTCACCCCAGAAATGTGGGTTTGGATATGATGTGGAAAAGGTTTTGTGGTTCTCAAGAGTAGGTTTTATAAAACAGATAATGTTATTTTTAAATAGTTCATGTTGAGCTCCTGCTTACCCATGAGCTGGACATTTTGCTGCATGCTTTATGTATTCATTCAACAAATTTTTTTTGAGGACCTTCTATTTGTCAGGCCCAGTTTTAAAAATGCCTTGGATACAGTACTGCCCAGATTCTGGAGAGAGTGGCAAATTACAATAAATAAACATATATATAATGTGTTGGGTGATGATAAATTGGAAACTGCTGTGAAGAAGAGTGGAACAGTAAGAAGGAAGTGAAATGGAGTGCTGTCATATATTCAGGACAGTCTTTGTTAGGTGACAGTTGGGCAGAGAAGGGAGTGAGCCATTCAGTGCTCTTGGGGGAGAGCTTTCTATGTGGAGGAACCAGCACGTCCACAGGCCTGAGGTTGGAGTGTGCCCAGCATGGTCAGGGAGCAGCATGGGGGCCAATGTGTGTGGATGGGTGAGATCAAGGGCTAGGTGGCAGAAGATGCCTGTGTCTCATGAAGCCTGCAGAACTCTGTAAGGACTTAGCCTGCACTGTGAGAAGGGAGGCATTCCCTCCGAGAGTTTGGCAGAGGGGTGACATGATTGGACATGCATTTTTAAAGGATCACGCTGGCTGCTCTATTACGAATGGACTGAGGAGGAGCAAAGATGGCAGCAGGAGGGTCACTCAGGCCACCACAGTCATCCCGGAGCAGGATGGTGGTGGTGGCTGATGCAGGTGTCTGGCTGGGCTGTGAAGGTGGAAGGGAAGCTGAGCTGGCAGGGGGCACTGGTGGGTTGGATGAAGACTGAGAGGAGCCAGGAGGAGACTGAAGTTTTCCACCCAAGCAGTTGGCAGGATGGAGGTTTCCTTGAGGGAATGGAGTGGGTTGCTGTGACTGTGACGTGTCACACGCATGGAGCTGGGAAAGATGAGGTGATCGTGATATATGTCACGTCATTTAAACCTGACAAAACCCTTGTACATAGCCATTAGTAATCCCATTTTATACTCAAGGTAACAGAAGTCCACAATGCTGAAGTAATTGCCCAAGGCTACACAGCTAGTTACAGGACTGAGCGGAGATCCAAGTGAGGACTTTGATGTCACAGCCCCTGAAAGCTGGCATTCCCTGTGATCCCTCTTCTGGGTAGATGCCAGCATAGCGTCCCAATCCAGGCAGCCTCCCTGCCCACTCCTGAAAGCTCCCTGGAGGGATGGTGTGTGCTTGGAGAGTGAGAAGAGAGACCTGTCCTTCTTGGTGATGGCAAGGGGAGAGGGCGGAGGAGACGGACCACAAGCACCCTCTCTTGCGCCTCCCTCCAAGTAATTGGCAGCCTGGAGGAAGTGGTGACTTAATAGGCCCAGCAGACAAGAGAACTTGGACTCACAACCTCTCACCAATAATGAAAGATTAGGAGTGGGGAAAACCATAGATAAAAAGCACTTACTAGTTAACTGGAAAATAATACATTTTTGCAACTGCAGGTTCCACAAGAATATAATTGGGTCCCAAGGCAGGGAATGACTTGTTTTCATGAATGATTATATTGATCATTAGAGCAAAATGGATATATCCCCTCTGGAAAGCAATGCAAATGAGAAGTGTCCGGCTGGTCAGGTGTGGCCAGTGTGAAATCCTGAGAGGCTGCAAGAGGAGGAAGAAATGAAGCTGAGAGCTAATGAGCCAGGTCCTGGCCTGGGTTCGGGGAGGTCTGGGCTGTTGATTGGGTGATGCAAAGCAATAAAACTTGCTTCTGTCTTAAGTCTTGAGCTCTCCCAAGGAAGGAAAGAAAGAGGGTCTGTTCAAATACCAGTTCCTTATTCTGTTTAACCCATTGGGTGTTTTATTTGCTTCTCTTTTTTTCCAGAAGGGATTTGTTAGTAGCAAACAGCATGTTCTAATGGGAAAAGGAGCAGGCTGGGAGGTGGCTCCAGCCCCATTTTTGCCACTGACAGGAGACTGTGACCCCCAGGTGTTTCCCCTCCCCTCCCCTGGTCATGGACTCATTTAGTCATTCATTTATAAAGAGTTATGAAACACTCTCTCATAACAGGGAGCATTGGTGTGGGCTCAGTGTGTGCCAGGCACTCTCTAAGCACTTTCTGTACATTAGCTCACTCTTCACAGCAACTCAAGAGTAGGTCCATTAGCTCCATTTTACAGATGAAGAAACTGAGTGAAGAAAAGTTATGTAACCTGACTGATAGTCCTCATGTGGTGTGTGACAGATGGATATCAGACACTGTGCTAGGTGCTGGAGATGGCTACAAACTGTACATGGCATGTGGCCTCATGGAGCTTATTTTATCTAACACATTGAAATGGTCACACAAAAGTACAAAGCATGATGGGTACAAGGCACAGAAAGGAAATGGAATGGTGAGAGACGAGGAGCCTGGTTTCAGTTGCAGGGTGGACGAGGCACCCTGAAGGAGCTGTGATGAGCCCCCATGCTCACTCAGACCCTCTGGTCCCCCATTTAAAACAACATCCCCTATCACACTCTACCACACCTATTGTGGACTTAGCTGTGTATACTCCGCGCCCCTCCACAGTAGAGTGTAAGCTTATGGTGACATGCCCTCTGGTTTTGAACAGTGCCTGGTGCCTGATTAGTTGAAGGAATGAACACAGACTAAATTGAGGAGTTAGCCAACAGGTGAGTGTGGTGGGCATACATGGGGCCTGCGTGTTGAGGGACAGAGGCAGGCAGGTGATGAGCGTCAGCATAGCCAAGGATCCTTGGCTAGGGGTGGAGGGGTCAACAGTGGACAGGTCACATGGGGCCCAAAGACCTCTGAGAGGCTAGGAGTAGAGGGAAGAAGGCCGTGAAGGTTTAAGCAGGAGAGTCACGTGATCCAGCATCCACTTCGAGCCGTGGCCTTGGCTGCCTTGGGAGAGGTAAGGCAGGGTCTGGAGGGTCAGGTCGTATCACAAGGCTGCTCTAGAGGTTGGCATGAGGTGCTCATGACCTGGGTTGGCGGGTGGGGTCTACTGAAGGTAGAGCCTGGGCAGACAGCATGAGCAGTGGGACATTTTTCTGGGAGGCCTGTGAAGCAGCTCACTCATTTTTCCTTAAGAAGCACTGCCAGAGGAGATTCTGAGAGAGACTGCCCTTCTGTGAATGTATTTTCGTCTTCTCCAGGCTGTTGGGGCCCAAGAGGTAAGAAATGAAAGGCAGTTTGGAGAAGCTCGATGAGAAGGATACACCGTTTTTGGAGACAGTAGAATTCGATCAGTTGACCATCGCCTCACAGGCTGGAGACACCACCTCTCTAACTCAAATCCTTACCCTTTTCTTTACACCCTGCTGTCTCCCCACTGACATAAGGGAAAGGAAAGGGTTTGGATGTGTCTCCCTGGGATTGGAATCTAGTCTTGGCTGATGAACCCCAGTTCTGGGAATTCAGCTTCCATTTCTGTGCTGAGCATTAGTTTCTCTCTGTTACAATGGGACTAAGTGTGTTGCCCTTCCTACTCCGGCCAAGCCAGCTCTGTGAACGGCTTTTGGTATTGAGGAAGATTTCCTGGCCACCAACAGTTGTGTCTTTCTTGGTCGCCCAAGTGAGCACCTACTGACTGGGAAGTGACCCACTTAAGGGGAGGAAGAAAGTGCCACAGCCTCCCCTGGAGCCAGTGCTGTTAGAACTGGAGGTTCAGCCCCTTGCTTACAGGTGTGCAGATTGAGGCTCAGAGAGGGGCAGGCAGTGAGGGCTCAGCTGTTTCTCATGTATAACACACCTACTGGCCTCAGCCAGACTGGAGGAAGACTTCCCACAGCCACACAGGCGGGTTTGTGCAGAGTCCAGTCCCAGACCTTAACTTGCGGGCCTCAACCTTCCATGCCAGCAGCAGTTCTGGGGCCTGGCTGGCTGCTAGGGCTCCACCCTAGATGGAGATTCAGCGGGCTAGGGTGCGGCCTGGGATTCTACCCTTCCATGAAGTTTCATAGGATTCACATCAGAGCCAGGTTGAAAAGTTGCTGTGAGGTTCCCACCGCCTCTGTGTAAAGAGGGAAACTGGACTGGAGAAGGATGATTTCTGAACCAGAGCAGGAAGAGCATTGTGAACACAGGTTACCATAGGTAGTGGCTTCTCTGAGCGTATGCAGAGGAGCTGCCAGACAGTCCCGGGTGGGACTTAGAGGCAGCTGGGAACACAAGACTTCATTGCATCCCTGCTGAGCCTTGAGAGGACAGGGGGCTCTTGCCGCAGCTCCATCCAGGGCAGGTCCGTGGTTCACCCCCAGCCCCCGTGAGTACTGCTCAGCTGTAGGTGCTCTGTTCTTGGCTGATTTCATTGGTTACTGTCTGCCCCTCCAGTTTTCCTGGGGCGCGTGACCTCTGTTTCCTTTGGCCTGGCACCGCTGCGAAGCGCAGAGGCAGCAGTCAGTGCTGAGTGAGGGAGGGAGTCGTGGAGGGGTTTATGGGTGGAAGCAGCTGTTATTTGTCCAGCCCCTTCAAGCCAGGGGCCCAGAGCCTCCCTGGGCATGTGCTCCTCGATCCCCCTTGCCTTCCTGACGGAGGTCAAGCAGCTGTTGGTCTGTTTCCACAGATGGTTAACCAAGGCACAGAGAAGGGAAGATACTCATTAGGTTACCCCGAGAGCCTGGGACGGAGCTGAGCCTGGAATTTGTGTCTATGCCCTGGTTGCTGTCCATAAGACCCAGCCTCCTATTCTGCAGAGGAAAACACCTGAGAGGAAAATCATCAAATCATTTTTCTTTGGCTGAGTTGATTTGCTTATAGACACAATCACCATCATTTTCTCTTACTTAGTGTAAAGGTCAATTTTTCATTTCCTGGTTACCTTAAGTCGGAATCTAAACTTGGAGTTAGGAGTCCTGAACCCCATCCGGTCTCGTCTAACAGCCTTGGCCCTCCCCACGTTCCTTCCTTTCTCTGACCCTCCATCTCCACCCCTGTAAATGAAGAGTCAGTCCCAAGCCCCCTTACACAGCAGAGCTGCCTGGTGGCTCCCTTGCCAGATTCTGATTGAGTGCATCTCAGAGGGTCCTGGTCCTGAGCACCAGCAGGAGCTGAATTCTGCTCAGCTGTGGTCTTCCAGGCCCCTTAGACCAAGTCTGGCAAAGCCAGGTAGCCAGGAGACAGTGGCTTGCATTCAGTGCTGTGGAGAGCTGGCCCGCCGCTTCCCTGGCCTCGGTCTCTCCCCAAGGCCCTTCCCACTCTTCCAGATTGGTCTTGGGCAGCAGAGAAGCAGGGCTGTTGCTTTAAGGACATGACGGAGTTGCTGGATTTTCCATTTCAAAGCTTCAGCCAAATGAGTCAACTTTTTCTTTTTTCTTTTGACCACGGAACCTTATCCTTAACCTTTTTTGTAAACTGGAGGAAGACCACCTGGGGTGACTTTAGTCTCTAGAGAATGAGAAGAAGTGCTTTGTAAATGGTTTAATAATTTAGTTTAGTCTCTCCATTTGGATAAGACTGGTGAATATTTTCCTCTCTGCCTCTGGTTTCCCTGGGTGAAGAAGAGCCTGGGCAGATTTAAACTAGGTTGGTCCCTCACTGCCCCAAGCTACCTTCCCGCCCAGCCTGCATCTGAGCAGCTGCCCACCCGATGTCGTTCCGTGTGTCCTCAGGGGAAGCAAACTCATTTTCATTTCAGTATAAGGTCAAGCAAAGTGTAATTAGGACAGTAAATCTGTTTACCGAAAAAAAGGCCTATGACACATTTCAAGGTCCCAGAGAAGTGGTTTGTCACTGAAGGAAGGATGGGAGAGACCTGGTTTTCTATTTAATTCTTCCAGTCTGGGAGCAATGGTAACCCTGTTTACTGTAGAAAATGCAATGCGGTTTTTAAAAAAAACTATTGTGAGATAGTCTGAGGTTGCAGGAATGGGGACCTAGCTTCATGAAAGTCTTTTTCCTTTCTGTGCCTTGCAGTATGACTTTACCCCTACCTTCCACCCCGTGTCTGTATCCTCCCTTCCTTGACTGCACTTACCATGTGAATGGCAGTGTACCAAGGGCTTCATGTACATTTTCTGTATTCAGTCTGCACACCGGCCTTATGAGGCAGGTTCTGTCATCTGCGTTTTATGGATGGGAGAACTGAAGTTCAAGGGGCAAGTGACTGGTGCAGCATGAAAGTGGAGGAACTGGATTTGAAGAGGTCCATGCTCCTGACCGCTGTGCTGCACTGCTGTTGCTCAGTCAGAGCCACAGATTGCCACGCCAAGCTCAGAGTTACCTCCCTGCGTCCTGGCTTCCTTTCCTCATACTCCTTCTTGGCAAGATCCATGCTTCTCTGTACCTCAGGCTTAGTGGCCATCAAACCACTGGGCCGCTTCTTATTGAGGTGGGGGGGATTAGTCATCTCCCTCTAGACGAGCCTTCCTGGTGGGCCTAGCACGGGTGTTGCTTTCCTAGACAGGCCGTTTCTTCCCTGTGAGCCTCAGTGCCCCACAGTAAGGTGGAGGCTGGGGGTGGGGGCACTGTGGCCATCTGCAAAGGGCCTTGGGTTCACTACAGAGGGATGGGGTCCCCTTTGTGTGGGAAGTTTGCCAGCGGTGGGGTATTGCCACCTCCAGAAAGCACTCTTTGCTTTAGAGCATCTGACCCTGTTCTGCCTGGTCAGCATTTTGATCACTATACTGTGTTCACTTGTCTTCTGTATGAGTGCTTTTTAAAGAAACTGGAAGCCTTGCTGGAGTTTTCCATCTCAGGATAGGCCCAGAGCTCTCCAAGCTCAGGTCTTGACTCTGCCCGGCCAGGCTGTGCTACCCTTCCCTTCCTTTGCCTCCCGTTCCCCCAGTTGTTCTGGCCCAACACTGATCAGGCCTCTCCTCCAACAGGCCGGTCCTCTGGGCCCTCCCATGGTGGGCAGTTCCCATCAGCCGCATGTGTGCAACACCGGTGATTCCAGCTCCTGGTTCTGGGGCTCACTGACTCCCTCTTTCCTGGGAAGATGTTCCTGGTGGGCCTGACCGGGGGCATTGCCTCGGGCAAGAGCTCAGTGGCCCAGGTGTTCCAGGACCTGGGCTGTGCGGTGATTGATGTGGACGTCATCGCCCGGCTGGGTGAGTGGGGGCCGTGGGGTTCTGTGAGCAGCTCCCCCACGTCCTCCAGCGTGCCGCACCTTTCTGTCAGTCCTTTCAAGGCCTCAGCGGAGGGCAAGGCGTTCCTCCCAGCTGTGGGCCGTCTGTGGCTTGTCCTCCTGCCCTTCTGTTTACTCTCCCCTCTCCTTAACCTCACCCCATGACTGTGACCACCCTGGGGTTCCGTGTGCTCTGCTCTATGTCTCACCTGCTTGTCCTCCCCTCGTTCTGATTTTGCTCCAGCTGAACAACTCTCCCCATCAGTACCCCCACCATTTTGCCTCTAGTCACTTGAGGGCGGCCTCTGCTGGCTGGAGGCTCTGGAGAGTGACCTAGCCTCCTCCTCATGCCATAGTCGTCCAGCCAGGATACCCTGCCCACCAGCGCATCGTGGAGGCCTTTGGCACTGAGGTCTTACTGGAAAATGGCAACATCGATCGCAAGGTCCTGGGGGACCTGATCTTTAACCAGCCCGACCGGCGGCATCTGCTTAACACCATCACTCACCCTGAGATCCGCAAGGAAATGATGAAGGAGATGTTCAAATACTTTCTCCGAGGTAAGCCCCCGGGCCTGGGATAGGGGTAAGGCAAAGACCCCTCCTTACAGGGCCAGGGTCCTTCTCAGCAGAAAGGTTGGCCAGGGTGAGGGGAGCTGGTCATGCAGGCTGTTGAGCTCATACTGATCACTGGCACCCTGCCACACACACACACACACAGCCCCAGAGGAAAGAAGCACGTGTCCCTCAACTCTTAAGGAGGTTGACAATCTAATGAGAAGAGCCACTTGAGGCTTTGGGCCATGATCCCCAGGAAGTAAGTTGATTTTTCTCATCGGATGAACATAATAATAGCTGATGTTCTGAGACCTGGGTGTAAGTCCTGGCCCTCACAGGTTCTAGCTGTGTGACTGTCGAAGGAGCGAGCCCTCCACCTGTTGCCTCATCTGCATACTGAGGCTAATCATGCTGCCTTAAAAAGCTGTAGAGGGCCTGGAAGTCCCCATCAATGACTGTTGATTACCACACAATGTAAACCATGGTCAGAGTCAGATTTGGTGCTTGTTGGGATGCCTGGGAAAGAAAATTTGCAGACTGGACGTTAGGGAGGGTCTAGGATGGCCGGGGGAGGTAGGGGAGGGGTTCTAAGTGGAGAATAATCCTTGGGAGCTGGGATTTACTAGAAGGAGTTAGTCTGGCACGTGCAGGGACAGCTAGGCGGTAAGTGGGGACTGAAAGAAGGGGAGGGTGTTTGAAGAGCAAGAGTTTGAAGAGCCAAGCCCTCCTCCATGGTGTAAGCCCTGTTCTTCTGTATAGCACTGAGCAGGGGTGACCTGCCACTGTCCAGGATCACTAAAAGTGGGAGAGCAGAGTGCAGCGGCTTGAGATCAGGCCAGCTGCCTCAGGCCGCTGCGGATCTCCCTGCTGCCCTTGGCATATGTGGCCTCCACCCTGGGCCTCAGAGTTGAAGGCCTGGCTGCTTGTCTCCCACTGTCAGTCATGATGCTGCAACTTTCCTTCCTGTCCGTATGGGCCAGCATTTTAGGTTTTCATCCGACTTTTGCACTGTGATCACGGCCAAACACCTTATTCTTTCATCCTCAAGTTCTCATGTACAGACTGGAGAACCTACCCCAGCCCCATCTCCCTCTGGCTAGTACCTTCCCACAGAAGGAAAGGGATAGTTTGACAGACATCCGTGATGTCGACCCTCCACAACCCCTCTCCCCAGGTCTGGCCAGGATGAGGCCAGGCTCCAGACCTCCTCCCTGTGGGACCAGCTTTGGCTTGCATCTCAGCACCTTGCTGCAGCCCTCCCTCCACTTTTTCTCCCTCAGGGACAGTCTCTGGACTCTTTCTGCCTTTGTCCCGCCCCTTGTGTCTGTGCCAGGACCCCCTCCTACTCTACCCAGGAGTGAAGCCTTCTGCCTTCATCCTGCCCTTTACATTCACTCCCAAGCCAGCTGCAAGTCCATCTGCAGGGCTTTGAGGCAGCAGTGACCCTCCCCTTCTGAAATGAGGCACTGGATAATGTCACCCGCTCCAAAGTTCTCCGCTGTGTCATCCACCCGGCCTCCCTCTCCCCAACCGCCACCACTTATATAAAAGCCAGAAAGCTCCTTTCAGCTCGATAAGGTGAAAAATGGGGACGACAGCTGTGGCTTCCACAGTCCCAGTTTTTCCCTGATGAGTATAACAAATACAACTGTCAAAGTTGGTATAATCAAACGTCAGATAAGATCACCAGCTGTTGGGGAGGTCTCTGTGTAGGCAGACGGATGTCTTAATAGAGTCAGGATAGTTTGCAGAGCTTATCAAGCAGGAGGGATGTGACAGCTGAATAGCCCTTTGTCGCTGCACCAGAGTACCGGCCACGAGCTCCCAAGAGGGTCAAGGAGAAAGGACAGTAAGGGGGGAGGAGCAAGCAGGAGAGGGAGATAAGAGGCCTGGAGAGAATCTGGTCTTGGCTCCCATTCTGAATTGGGAGGAGTGTGGGGGAACCAGTGCTGCCACCCGCCTCCCCACCCCAGGGAGGGCCTTTGGGGAGGGGGATGCTATGGTTTACATGCCTCTGCATATTTGATCCTTACCATCCTCCTGGTAAGTAGGTGGTCTTTCCACTCATTTACACAGATGAGCTTGTTATGGGCCCCAGATCACATGGTAGGAAAGTGGTGGCTATAAACCCAGGCATGTCATCAGAGCCAGTTCTCTGAGGCCTTTCATTCAACTAAAGGTTGCTCTTGCGATTCCTGAGCAGGAGGTCCTGGGGAACAGAAACCCAGCAGCTTGGGTCGCCACCCCTGTTCCTGCATCACCTGGAGTGCCAGTTTCTCCATGACACCCCAGGAATTGGTGCGATGTTTGACACCCTGGGAACTGGTGTGATGTGTATCCCGTTCTTGGGTTGGAAGTGTTCACAGTGGGATACCATCCAAGCCAGGCTGGGATCTCTGGGCAGAAGCAGTACCCACTCCTTTCCCTTCCTGCTGCCAGCCCCCTGCCAGCTTTGTCACACATGCACAGGGCAGGTCTCGGGCATAGAGAACTAGGAGAGAGTAGCCCACAGTGTTCGTTGGCGAGCAGCCCAGGAATGTGCCGGCTCACAGTAGGTGAGGGTGCCGCCCTTGACTGGCCTTGGCTTGTAGTGCGAGGGCCAGCCAATGCCTTTACCTCACTGCTGTTATATGGTACTACGGTTATACAGTACTAGTCAGAACCATGACCAGCCCTTGCAGCTCCTGGCTGGAGGTCTGCCTGTGACACCCATTAGCAGCCTTCCATTGGGGCTGCTCTCTTGGGGAGCTAGTAGCGATGGACATACTGGACTCTTAGAGAAGAACCTTTTTTTCTTTTCTTTTTTAAATTGTTTTTAGCAAAGGTAGGTGAAGTAGAGCAGAAAGGGCCCAGTTGCTCCTGGAAATCCTCTCCAGTCTCCTACAACTCTGGCTGTGTCATTTCCCTGTCAGAAATAACAACTCTTTGGGTTCAAGATTAAGGTGAACACCCTTTGTGCCTGCCCTGACCGCCTTGTCCGCTTCACCTCACATTGCATGAGGCCTTCGCTCCAGCCAAAGTAGTAGTGCCTCACTGCTCCCTGTGCTCTGCTGGTCCCCGTTTCTGGAACCCTCACCTCCACTCCCTCATTTTCAAGTATCAGAAGTCCTACAAGCTTTTCGAGACCAGTATGCATGCCATCCTTCTACACAGTCTCCCCTTATCATCCAGTCAAAAGTGACCTCTGCAGCGTTCTGTTGTGAATGGCATTGGAACTGCCTGGCGCTCAGGCTATGCCTCCTTGGAAGGTCTCTCCCACTGCTGGGGAGCCCCTGATGCAGGGGCCAGTGGCTTCAACTCTGTTCCCAGGCATGACACAGGCAGTCCTTAGTGTGTGCATACAGGACTGAACTTGTGGGTTTCCCGCTTCTCCCCAGGATACCGCTATGTGATTCTGGATATCCCCCTGCT